GGCTCGAGCAATCAGAGTTTTGCCAGTTCCAGGAGGACCGTAAAGGAGAATACCCCTCGGAGGCTTGACACCAATAGCTTTGAACAACTGTGGATGACGCAGTGGAAGCTCAACCATTTCCTTAATCTGCGCCAGCTGCTTTTTGCACCCACCAATGTCGTCGTAACCAACTTCAACCAGCTTTTCATCCTCTTCCTATCATGCTAATTACGCAAGAGCAAATCAACATACTTCGCGTTTAACAGGACTACCTTCCGTGTGAATTACGGTGTCCGGAGCCACAATACAAGACGGCGACGGGTCCGTCTCAATAACTTTGAACTCGACCGCGCGGAGATTACCACGAACAAGAAAGGTATCACCTTTAGTAACAGGCCGATACGCCTCCAAAAAATAAGGCTTCAAATAAACCTCAAACAAGTCACTAAACACGTCATGTCGATGAGTTGCACAAACCCAGTTAGTCCAACAATCGTGTCATCAATAGGAAGAACGTGAATTCGCTGACCGTATTTGATGTCTGGAAAGGCTTTGATGGAAACAATATCACCAAGACGAACTCGTAGATTGTTCCTGATACATCTATTCATACAGACTCTCTCATCAGCAACCCTGTCGTCAGATAATGCAACGCAGACTGTCTGCTTCCTTCGTTTCCCAATCACACTAACAGTGTCTCCCCTAAAGAGCTCCAATTCATTCATTGTGGCCTAATAAAGAATAGAATGACAGGCGAATTAGTACCGTTGAAAGAACAATAACAGAATTGTCGTCATTCACCGCATCTTCAACAATCAAACGGTTTCTTTTCCTCCTGGAAGGAACTGATGTCTGAGGATTCCTAGAATAAGTCAAATTTAACTCATGTGCATGATTAAAGACAACCCGAGAAGGGCTAGCGAGAGAATTACCCCGATGAAGCAGACATTCCAGAAATAACAAGGTGTTGACTAAGCCGACAAATTAAAACGCAAATCACAACAACCACTAGTCTCCTTAAGGTTAAAACAAACTTCACACTACCGCCGAGTTACACATTGCCATTCCACTAGAGGAAGAATCTGCGAGGAAATAATGGTCATTTATAATAAATAGAGCAACTGGCGGTCATCTACAGTAGTTTGCTTGTGTGGCATTAACTTTAGTCTAATTTACCTCAATATTCTTTGACTTGGGTGGTTTCAGTAATGCATTAAGTAATAGCGCAATATTTGACATTATTCCGGTAGTACCCTCGTCAGTGACAAAGACAGACTGCACTGTCCAGGCTTTAGTTATGTGCGAATCATTAAATAAACAGCGTCCGTGATTTTATGTTCAAAGTAGACATCCAGAATACAATTTAGTCCAATTTGGCGCTCGAAACGCCTGGCGTTTGGCGATCACTTTAGGACCTGTGTGGACTTTGCACACGTGGGCTGGCCTTGAGGCCATGCCCGGATCTATTTGCCCTGTCGTCTTCGGAATACATGTATCCAACTGCACTTACTGACTTCTTATACCGGTTGGGAAGTCTCGGGACGCTACTGTGCCATTGTATCCTTTAGGAAGTCATGCAGAGTTTTAAGGCTTTATTGGCGACTGACCTATTCAATGGTGTACCAATGGCCTGTACATAACCACTCATCTGGGTGGCCATCGTTTTGTATCCTGTCAAGGCAACAAATAGGTATCAATGCAGGACTTGGACGTTTAGGATTCACTCAAAGAAAAATATTCGAATTTTGTGGGCGAAACACAAATCCCGCTATAGTGTCATAGGTTCTGATGGTCGCTGTTACTTGTAATAGTAGACGTTTCGATATTTTAAGGTCTCATAACGAAGAGTAAGATTCATGTAGCAAAATGGGCTCATTGACACATGACTAACGCATGGGAGCCCTCTTTGGCATAAGTCCAAAATCTGAGAGGCTTCAGAATTAGACTTGGCGATAAGGATTTTTAAACCAAAGCAATCGATCTCACCTATAATTTGCAATAGCGCTGGTAAATATCAAAAGCCTACTATACAAATACTAAGAAGTTATTTGCGTTTTGTGTGTTTGCTATAATCTGGATGATGTCATAAATCATTCTGCGAAATGTTTTTAGCGCGTTGTAGTTCATGTTATCTTTCCGAAAACTAAACTTAGTTTTCGGGATATTCAACACCGTATTTAGCGCTGGTAATAATCGATTGGCTTTTTACTTCCGCATATTAGAACGTTGCGACGAAAGGTCCTGGCGTTGATTGGCGCGCTATTCGCCATTTGACTTCTGCTGTGGTATGGATAAGCCAAAAACGAAGGAGGTTCCTGCTGTTGTACATGACAAATCAAGCGGCAGGACGTATGTGAGAGGGAGGTTTCTAGGAAAGGTATTATTTTTTGGCGTAAATATCTTGTTTTAAGGGGGGTTTCGCCCGTTGTTGGGAGTTGAGTGATCAAGACACCGGTGTCAAATATGCAGGGAAGGTTGTTGCCAAGTGCGATATCGTTAAGCCGTCTCAGCGTCAAAAAATGCAACAAGAAATCACAATTCATGCTTCCTTGAAACATGAGAATATTGTTGGTTTCCACAGGTCCTTTGAAGACGAAGCCAATATATACATATTGCTCGAGCTGTGTCCTAGACGGGTAAATCTTTTACCCTAATTACTTCTGCAGACACTCATGGAACTTCATAAGAGACGCCGGCAAATTACTGAGCCAGAAGCCCGGTACTTTGTGAAACAAATCATAAATGGATGTCAGTATCTCCACCTTAATAATATAATTCATCGCGACCTTAAACTAGCCAACCTCTTCCTAAATGACGATATGGTTGTGAAGATAGGAGATTTTGGCTTGGCCTCAAGAATCACTAAGGAAGGTGAAATGAAGAAGACGCTATGTGGGACGCCGAATTATATTGCCCCTGAAATTCTCTGTAAGCATGGTCACAGCTTTGAGGTCGATTCGTGGTCCGTGGGTTGCATTTTGTAAGCAAAATGTTTAGCTTGATTATTTCCAAGGTACACTCTTCTTGTTGGTCGACCACCCTTCGAAACTTCAAGTTTACATGACACTTATGAGAAAATAAAGAAAAATGACTACTTTGTTCCTGGTAATATCAGCATAGCGGCTACGAATCTGATTCGATCTTTTCTCAACTCTGATCCACAAAAGCGGCCGAGCATGTTCAGCGTGATGGATCACAGTTTCTTTAAGGGCTTTACTCCTGCTGGTCTCCCTGTCAGCGCGCTCACTACGTGTCCTCGGTTCGACAATCTTGTCCGTAATCCCTCTGACAGGCGACCACTCTCAGTCATTGATGCTAATCTTAATGATGTATCAACAGTTAGTGCAGAGGCTAACAAAGACTACACCACTGATGATTGCTGGCTCACAGTTTTATTCGAGAAGGTAAGAAGGTCCTTATATGAGACTTTTTGAATCAGTTAGGAGAGCTTCTTGATGCACCAGTGTTGCAAACGACTTCCATAACTGCAATGGAGGAGAGCGAGGATCCGGCATGTGTTCCCATTTATTGGGTCTCCAAGTGGGTTGATTACTCGGATAAATATGGCATCGGCTATCATCTGTGTGACTTCTCGAACGGTGTTCTTTTCAATGATGATACACGTTTAATATTTACCGCGAACAAGGAGAATCTTCAATATATTGAAAGTGGTGGCAAGGAGCACTTGTATACAAAAAACGATTATCCTCCTTCACTGAAAAAGAAAGTAACACTACTTACTTGCTTCACTAGTTACATGCAAGAAAACCTTCTTCATGTAAGTCATTTTTTTTCCTTCTACAAATTCCTTAAGTATTTCTGTCTTAAGCTTCCGCTGTCATTGTTAAAATTTCTATCTACAATCTAACGTTTGAAGGCTCTTTGTGAGTCTCCGTCCAATTTTTTCATAATTAAGTTTTGCGAAGTTCGTTCAGAAATGTTTCTTTATACCAATTTTGCGTAACTACTTTTACTGACTCTACTCCATGCATCCCGGCATAATGTTCAATCGAGCGATTTGTTGGGCTTGTTTCTTTGCCATCCACCACAATAAGTCTGCTTCTTTAGTATCAGATGCCGCTGCTTGTTTATTAATCTCCAATGGGCTTTTGCCTACGGATGTCAATCATACTGACCCAAGTGATCTGAGAGTTGACGCTCGTAATTTAGTTATGCGTTTGAGTAGTTTAGGAAGTCATCTTGTCCCGTTATTTCCAAGGTTTTGGGGATATTGTTTGCATTTATTTTGCGACGGTTGCTTAATGTTCAATCCCAGAATTAGCGTTACCGCAGTGGGTGTTTTCATTCCATCTGATTGTCTTTTGTGTTTCTCAGTCACAAATTCCCTCGCCCAGAAAGCTCTATTTATAAATGGTGTTTCCTGGAATTTTGTATTGCTTACTTTCTAAAAGTGATGGATAAAAGGTTGAGATTGTATTCTACTTTCGTCTCTAATCTAGGCTGGAGAGAATATTGTGCGTCGAGAGTCAGACAATATGGCCAGATTGCCCTTCCTCCGAAGCTGGTGCCGGACTCGCATAGCGATCGTGCTACATCTCAGTAATGGAACATTGCAAGTAAGGCTGCCTTAAGTCTCGCTCATGGCCGAAGTTAACAGTTTCTGCTTATTCCTCTGATCGTATCCTAAGGTTTGTCTGTTCTAATCACAGTACTGTTTTCACACATCAAGCCCTTTAAACTACTTGAAAAGAAACGTTCTGCTAAGATTTATTCTTTACCAAAGTCAAAAGCACTTCATTTCCTAATCATTTAATCCCTGTCTGTAGTCACTTTAAGATCAGATTGATAATGAATCTCAATGAATTGAGGCTGACTTAGCGATGTTATTGGCTTTTAGCTCAATTTCTTTGACGACCACTCCAAAATTATCCTCTGCCCTTTAATGGAGGCCGTCACTTTTATTGACCCGAGTCGTAATTTCAAGACCTTCCGTTTCAATTTGCTCAAGAAACATGGTATCACTGGCGACTTAATGAAACGATTAAAGTACGCCCACGATATGATAGATTGCAAACTCTTGCAACGGCAGTCTGAACTTCACGCAAGATGTACTGGAACAAAGAATAAAAAAGGCTCTCGAGATACGGTCCTTGCTCCAGCGAAGAAAGAAGATCCTACCAGTGTAACTGTTGGCAAAGGAAAGCAGGATACTGCAAAAACCGATGCTCTGAAAAACAAATAATTGGGCTTTTGGACTATTCGGAAAATTTATCACATGCTTACCGTCTTCCAATCGAATCGCCTCGTTGATACCTGATGTATTTCAAATCTCGTGATTCTTCATCCTCCTTTGTGGACGTTGTGTAAATTTAATTCCTTATAGTTTAAAAATAGTTTACTGAAGGTCATGTCTTAAGCCTATTTGCATCTTTGGGATATGACGGTCTCTGTTTACTCCACCAGGGTCTCAGCAGTATTTCCTACTGTCTCCTTTTCTTTCGCATGTAGCTTGTGTTACCGCAAAATTGGAACTTGGAGCAGTAGCTAGCTACGTTGTACGAAAAGTTTATCTGCTTTGTTCGCCTTTTCCAAAACCAAAGGAGGATTATGTGGTGCCTGCATAGCGGAATAAAATATTACTCCTGGATTCGCGCCCTTTTTGGCTTGAAATGTGTGTAGTGGACGCGGCCATCTCCGACAGTAATTTTGCTCCCAACGTTCTTGTCAACGTGAGAGTTTTTCCTGTTATTCTTTTGTAGTGTAGCTTGGATTGGTACGTCTTTATGAATCTTGAATCGCGGCCTTGCTGAGTGTAATTGTTTTGGAGGCTAGACGTGGGTGTAAAGGCTGATCTTTACAACTCGCCACTTATGAAGTCCCATTGTAGTCTTATTGAAATTTTGGATAGAAGTCTGCCATTGTTTATTGTCCATGATATCTTGTCTCTGGAGTTAACTATTTCATACTTCTCAGCGATTAATGTGCTTCACAGCAACCAATCCGAAGTTCTCTGCATTGTCTTTACTTAATTGGGGTTCTACGTTTCGCTTCTCGTTAGGAGCCGACGCTGGTTGATTTTCGAGCGATTTGCAAATTATCTGGGAGCGGATTTTCGCATTTACCCATGCCGAACTTACCTCATCTGTTCTACTTACAGGAGTTAGTAGGCAGTGCGTCTAGTTAGCAGGATGGAACGACACTTCGCAGGTGACACTGGTCAAGGTACTGAGGGTTGTAAAGTGACGCATGGATCATTCAAACTGAATTGGTATTGAAACTGTGCTTGCGCTCCGAAGGCGTTGTTTGGGTAGCTGGGTTGGTCATCCTCACTTAACTGATGGGCGGGTCTTCACCAGTTGGGGGGATAGGAGCAACGTTACTCATGTTTGGCCACGAACAGGCTCTTCCGAAGTGAGGAGAGTTTTATGAAAAGCTCAGTGATCTTGTTTTATAGCAGATGAGTTGGCTCTTTGCGTGTGATGCTGAAGGTTATGAAGCGAAAATTCCGTTCATGTGAAGGTGGGGATGGTAGCAAACTTTCGTGGATTGTATTGTTTGCATGGTAATTTGACAATCCACCATGAGGGGGTAGGCGACTATGTGGTTAAGTTTTGTGACGGGTTACTTCATTTTAGCCAACATGAACAAGTAAAGAACTGCATTTGAGCCTTGCTAGTGGTCTCCCAACTTAGAAGGCCGTGTATTGTTATGCAAACGTACTCAAAGGATTGCTTCGCCTTTCACAGCATTTAGTGAATGCTCCGTTCGGCGTCAGTTTCTGCCCTATCATTTATAATTTCAAGAATAATTATAAAGTCAATGACTTTAGTAACGTTCCGGTAGGTTCTTCTGCTGCCGCGTTTGAAATATGTAGACAAATGTGTATTTAGCTGCCTCGGTCACATGCTTTGGAGGTTGCAACGCGTTGCTTGGAGAATTTTGGAAGCTTTTCACCGATATCCAGGTGCACGAACATCGTTTTCTCAAATCGAAGGGATAGGATCACCGGTTTGATGCGTAAGTATGTTCGGATAAGTGCCAGCGCACCTGCGCCAACGAAAATGTAAGATACGGCCCAAAGCAGACTACACTTTTTATCGTGGTAGGTCAGAGGAAGTGGGGATTGTTTCCAGTACTTGGAAACTGGTGATCGCGAATGCATTAAACAACGAATGAGTTCATCGATGAGGATCGGCACTGTCAGGTGCGAATGGAAAAGGCAAACACCTGAGAGGCTGCTTTTTATGTGGGTTTCACTGCCATCATCTTGTTCCGGCAACGTCATAATGGGTCAGATTGGACGCTCACTCGATTTAAAGCTGATGAAAAACTGATTTCTCACATTGGGACGAGTTGTTTTCATTTAAGTGCCAAACTGGATTTTGTGCTCGTATTTTAGCATCTTCGAATAAGGTGAGAAATATCGTTAATTCCCAAAGTGCGTTTAAAAGTAACTGCAACAGTATATTGAGGCGAAAGTTTACACTTCTAACCACTATCAAGGCAAGGCGTGTCTCAGTCACTGTTCAGTGGAAATCCTGGAGCTTTCAGTACATCACTGTCACTGCCTTATTACTGCATCTTTACTCGTATCGAGTGTTGTTACCGTGCTGTTGTGTTTTTCATAATCATTTGAAGTGCTACGCCTGTTCATTTGGGAAAGCCTAGAGACCGGTCGTTTGGAGTGAACCGCTACTTTCCAACCAAACAGGTTGGAGGACTTTTACTATGCGTAACAGTGCGCGCGTGTAAACAAGAAGTATAGCAAGAGCAAAGTTGTGTTGCGACCCACTATCCAATGACATCTTTGCTTACTGTAAACAGTCGACACTCTCACCACATTTACACCGCCGCTGCACTCTATCAACAAGTGCAATGGGTGAGGTCTGTAGCTTAGAGATTCTGCTCACCGTGCTCTTCTATTGTTCCTTTATCGTTGGAATGCATTTATACTGCACGATGGCTGGTATGGCTGTAGAGCAACTTACAATCCGTTTCAGTTGCAACAGACTATGTTCCTCTCTCCTACGCCACGAAGCAATCAATCTGGGGATTATATGTAAGTCGTCTACTGAATCTGTAATTGTGACGTGGTAGAACACAGTGGGAACAGATTACACTGAAGTTGAAAGCTATTATGTAATGGCACCCTATCTGGCCACATTCTTCGTGGTCTGCCTGTTAGTCAACATTCTCAATGCGCCCTATGTGAGTTATCGTGACACGCCGGCTAATTGAGTACCTTGCAGAAAATCCAAATTACCGAATTCGTGTCAATTGCCATGATGATTAGTCTGTATGGGCTGCCCCTTATGGTAGTTATCATTGGAACTGTTATTCTTTTGGCTGGCATCGGTCGGACTCTGCGCGGATTTAAAATCTTGCCCCAAATTTTCGGCCTCCTGACTCTTGGTTTCATTTCAAGCGCTATGGACTATGTACCATGGATAGTAAGTGAATTCACTTTACCACGCGTTATACGATTTTTTGTCGCCATACCAGAGGAGTGCCATTTTTCGGTGACATCCATTATTCAGGAAACATAAACTTTTCATGTGCTTTCAAAATTATTCAAATCATTCGGTACGTTCAGAAAAGGCAAAAACAAAAAACTTGCTGTGTTGGGTAAATCGCCTGAGACGTAACTGTCACGCCTCAGTTAGGTGGACACAACTTTTGACCTTCGTTGATGCTTATTGCGGTCGTTCCCCCTTCCTCTCCCTTAAGTGGATCTCGTTTAGCACTTGAAGTGAGTCTTCGCACATTTGATGCAGAGGCTCTGCACTGGAACAGCCCATTTCGTAAAGTACCATTCAGTCTACTTTCCAGGTCTCGGGGCCCTAATTTATTACTTGGCTCTGCAGGTGTCGTTTAATTGTAAAGGTACAATAACCGAACTAGATTTAGTTTTTTAAAGTCCAATTTAACATCCTTCACAAAGGTGAATATGTTTGAATTAATCCTACCTTCATTCAAGCAGGACCGTTAATTGATGCGAAATTTAGCAAAAGATAAGCGGCTGATTTTGGCAAACTAAAGTTTGTTTTGGGTATTCTGCAGGCCTCAATTTTAACGCGTGCTTGCGCCATTTGGGGTGCTTTGTACTAAGCGCGTAGACACATTCACAGCGTTAAATTGTAACACTCTGAGACTTCCCACTGGGCGTAAGAAGGAATTAGGTTGGGGCTGAATTTTTGCTTCCTAGAGGGTGACGATGGGGATGGAATGGGTTTGTCCCTAAGGCTGGCCAATCCTTATTAGGACATGATAAATACCAAAGTGTCTGCCAGGCAGAGAGGTAGTCATGTAAATAAAGTGTTACAGCAGTTTCCATTCTATAGGGTCTATATTTTGCTTTACTTTTTGCTGACAATTATTCCGTTTAAAATTTGAGAGTCTGCAGTTGTTTTGATAGAAAATGTGTTCCCCGATCGTCTTTCCATACGGGTGTGATTTTGCCTCTAGGACTTTGGACGGCATCTACAGGCATCATCACTGGCCTATGCAGGATTTTACGCCCAAGTTGTGCGGGCGATTTTACTGTGCTGTGAATATGCGAGGGAGGAGAAGCCAGTGGGCTGGAAGCGTCTCTTTTCTGAGTGTATCGGCTTTCCTGCTGTCACAGCAGTCTTCATGCCCGCCTCCTTCGTCCTCTTCACTGACTGGTTGCAGTGGCGCAACGGCCAGCATGAGGTAGATTGTCAAACATGTGCTCATTGGAGTGCATGAGGTACAAAATTAACCATTCTAGAAGTACCAAGCTAAAACTGTTACCTCCTGCCGCTGAAAGCACAATCGAAGTGACTGACTACATACTAAAGTTAATTAAAATACTTTGACAACATTCCCCAGCATCTTTGTAAATGGAAAAACGATATTCTTTTGTGTTAAATGATCACCATCACAATCCACTACCCTCGTCCGACTGGAAGCGAATTTTCTGTGGAAGTTACTTTTATAATGTTCTTTTCCTCTGATTGGAAAAAGTATTCTCTACACTTCCTGGTTCGCAAAGTTAATTGAAGGTAGTCCACATTGTTATCAGAAATGCAGCTGGCGGAGTTGATAGCACCGCTTTGCTATCCTACGATGTATTTCTTTCCATGGTTCCGTTTCAAGGTGGCATGAGGTCTTTATTTGTCTTCAATGAACGAAGCCTTCCCTTCTTGCACCTGCTACAGCATCTGTAAGATGTTTAGGGTGTACAATGTATACCTCAGTTCCAAAATTTTGGTCGTTGTATAGAAGAACACGGGGACGGCTTTTGTTTTCAGCGATCTGCACGGATCAATTGGAGACAAAGTGGAGTATGCCTTTAAAGTATGGAGTAATGAGCGAATAGTTTTGAAGCACCAAACAGTACTTGTTTCCTTTAAAAGACGATGTATTTGAAAAGTCACTACTCATCACAAGCCAACAATAGAATCAAGCAAAAATGATGTGTCGTTGCAATGGGGAAGGTGTGCAGAATGCATTTGAGCATCTTTTGCTGCCATCGGCATTAAACCTCAGCAAAAGTTCTTCATTTTTAATGCACCAATATTTAACTGCAACGAACAGCTATTTGTCACTTTCCATAGCACACATTTTTGCAGAAAGGTGTACGGTTTCGAGATTTAACTCAGTGCAGTTCGTGAATCGCGTCAGCCCGTCTCAACCGATGTTGGTGGGAAGCACAAGAAACTTAGGGCGTCATTGAGATGACCAAACTCTCGCCTTACAGCTCATTATTGGCACAATTACTTTGACATACTTCTATGCACTAGAGTTCGCCGTTTCCAAAACCATGCCAACATTTTGGAGGCGGTGTTGTTAAAGGTTGTGCGCCCGCATGCAAATGTAGCCGTCAAATAGGCTTAATTCGTTACTTTAAAGCAGAAATCCCTCCGACTGCCAATGCAAAAAAAAATATTTTCGCGACTTTCTTTGCGTGTAGAACTAGATGTGTGACTTAAATATTCCCAACTCCAGCATTAGTTTTTGCTAAAAGACGTCTCTGTAGCCTACGGTAGTTATTGGGAGAAGTGGCCGGACACCTCAAACTCGGCGGGCCTACTTCAAACACTTATAAAGCTGCCGTTTCATTGGATAAATGAAGCCTCTTTTTCAGGATATGCAAAGATTTGAAGCTGTTAAGATGTTCAGAAGACTGGAAGGACGTGTTATCCGTTTCTTGTCCAACGATTAAAGTGCCTCAAGGTGGGCCATCATTCTGCTGAGTCTCAAGTTTCGTCAAACAATAGCTGGCTGGGACGATTGCATAACTCACAGACCGGTTGATCAGAA